AATTTGGATTGTGATGATTTGTTCATCAACAACACAGCTAAGTGCCATGCAAAAAACAAAAATAAATAAAAAAATCAACCTCTAAAAGCCCCAAAAACTTATAAAACTCCAATAAAATGTGAATAAAAAGGAAATTGAAGATTGTAGCATAACTTAAAATACAATAATAATAATAAAAAGTTTATTTCGGAACCATGGAGGAACTTGGTAACAAATACACTTATCAATTCTTCTTGAAAATAAATCTTATACCGGGCACCTGGAGGTACCAGAAGCTCCAAACAACTGTTAATAGCAACTACAAAATGAGCTGTTGGCAATGGCAGTGAAAATATACCAAATATTTTATGTATTCAGCTCTACTGTTCATCCCATAAATGCTTGTTTCGTACAAATGTGCCACCATTTATATGGGAAATTACCAGGCTTTCCAACAGTATGATTCATTGCCTAGAAGCATTGTTACAACAAAGAAATRATCTACCAAACACATTCCTTTACTTTTTTGTGCTAAGTTTAGTTAAAAGAACCATTTGATCATACGTTCTTGTTTTTGTTAAGACGGGCAGCCACGGTTTGTTTTGCTTGCAGACGATGAGGCTGCTGCACAGACATGCAGAGAATCACAAACATCTTCCTCAGAAGCAACAAAACCATTGAAGTCTATGAAAGGGAGACGAGCTTTAATCTAGTCGAGAAGATTAAAGTTTCTCTTGCTTGTATAACTTTTACTAAATATATTATAAACTGTTTTTAGACAATAAAGTACCGCTGCACTGTGATGGGCTGTCACCTTGGAGCAACAAGGTGTTACATTTGAATTTTACCAGGGGACTTTCTGCATTGAGTTTTTCCACTGACGTTCTTCAGATTCTCATGATTTCTTCCAAAAAGATGCAAGTTATGTTAGTGACTCTGAATGGACCCTAGGGGTTTCTGTACATGATTGTCTTGTGTTTTATTTATTTATTTTTTTCGTTGGCCCTGTAGTTTTCATTATTTGTTGGTTAAATTCATAAAAATATTGGAGAAAGGAGAGCTGGGGGTGGTCTTTACCCAGCGGTTAAAGCACTTTGCAAAACTTGAAGAGGTTAAATAGACACTATAAAATGTATATGGTAGCCAGTTTATCGTTTGCCATATAAAGCCTTATTGTGTAACAAGTTACAAATTTAAAAAAATCTGGTTTATGATGCATCTGTAGCTGAGTGTAAATTTTGGTTGCTTTTTTTTCTCTGAAATTCAACTAAATGTATAAAAAGCTATAAAATTAATTTTATTCAAAGTGAAATGAACCCTGAATTCATTAACGCTGATTTACAAATTTCAATGTTTTATTTTTGGATTTGCCTTTTTAAGTGTTTTTTTTTTTTTGTGTAACAAAGAAACGCCCTTTTTGAAATGGGGCGAAGAGAGCGTCTTTAGGACCAGCTTACCTGTAATTACAGGAGTGAGAATCAATGGTGCACAACATCAAGCAAATGAGGTGGAGAGGCAAAAAGCCAGGGCGAACACCATGTTGAACACAAGTGCAGCCTTTTCCCAAACGGTCCGACTCAAACGATGGGGGAGCGAACGCTGATGATTATTTCTCTCCACCTCCTCTGCCCTCTCTGAGCTCGGATAGAAGTTGAGAAGGGAGGGTGGCGATGGAAACGTTAGCTGAACGGGGGTGACTTTTCCCCACAGGGCGCTTGCTGGTCTCATTAGCATGACTTTGTTGTTCCTCCTCATTTGTAGCTTAATTCTGAGACTTGTTGCTGCCTGTGTTTGGTAAGCATTGCTGCTGATTGATGGTAATGAGGAGATGTGATCTTCTGGATTAGAGTGTCTCAGCTGTTTTCTTTTGTTCATGCATGGATATTTAAATCYGTTTCTCAAGCTAAATTATTGAGACTCAGAAAACRCACAGAGGACTCTTTTAATCAGTAGTTGTACTTTTACTTARTTCACCTTCTTATAACTATCTATTYAAAAGCTTTATTTRGATATTTTAAATTTARCTTGACTTTTTGAACTGAATTAAAAATAATCTGTAAAGTAAAATGTATTAAATCTGTAAGTAGGTTTAGCTGCATAGGTTGATTTAAAGCATCAATAAAATGTCACAGGTATGTTCCAAGTTTGCCGCTTTGATTTCAGATGAAACTTTCCACATACTTGATAATTAGGTTTCGGTGTGATTGCACTTTGATTTGATTCACTTTAATCACAGCAAGAGCGATTAGTAAAGCTTGGCTAATTGTTTCAGTCTGATATTCGACCATGCAATTTAATCACAATAATTAGTCTTAAATCAGAGACAGGCACTTAGGACATTAATTAATATTAAATTTATATTTGACTGTAGCTCCCTCAGTGGACAAGGTTTAATAAAACATTTGACTTTTGTTCTTACTTAATTTATTAGCACAATCTAACTGAGGTTTGACTATAAAGTTAGAATATTTGCAGYTGAATTATAATGTAATCATATTTGTTGGTTATTTTCAGCCAAACATGATAGCTAATCTTTTTTTTAATATGCAGTATGTCTAAGATAATAAAACTTACCCATATTGTACTAGAGAGCAAAATAAAGTTAAGTTTCAGATCATTAACTGGATAATTGTAGCTGTCGAACRTATTAATTAAACCATGTGTAATGGATAGTTTTGAGGTAAATTAACTTGATGGGGTAAAAAAAAACATCTTTGCTTAGTTTAACCAAAGTGTCTCTGGTTTCCTGCATKGTATAAGGTTTTAAAATGACCTGAGGTGTAATGGTAGGCAGAGAATAATTTCATGTGCCACCTCCGTTTGCTCTGTAATGCTTGCTTTCATCTTTGTGCAGAGTCTATGGGGTTGGTCGTGGACGTGTTGCATCGAGTGGAGTCTGATGCAAATCTAACCTCTGCAGAGTCAGGATCCAAGGTTAATCCTGTGAGTAGATGCATAACTACTGATATTTTTCTTCTTCTTTGACATCAGCTGACAGACTGTTTGTATGCAGATCTTAAAGCATTAGAAATCTTTATTTTCTTTAAATGTCCTGATGCATCTCAGTAATCCAGGTAAAAAATCAAAAAGAAAAAAATGTGTAGGTCCTCTGGACGGGTTCTTCTCTAATGAAACGTTTCGTCTCTCCTCCAAGAGACTTCTTCAGTCTGAGAGTTTCAGGYAAAATTCAGGCTTTTAAGCCCTGCCTCCATGTGACTGATACTCACATCACATGGCTGTCGTTCACACCTAATTAACACCTATTGTTAACAGGGGGTGGAGTGATACTGGCAATGGCCGCGCTGTAGGAGGGGGACAACTGAAAACGGAGGCCTCCACCTCTGTTTAATGATGGACGGTCTTTCTTCACAAAAATGGCTTCTTTTACTCCTCTCTCAAACCAAYGTTCCTCTCTATCAAGAATGAGAACATCCTCATCTCTGAAAGAGTGACCGCTGGCCTGTAAATGAGTGAAAACTGCAGAGTTCTGGCCATTAGATGTAGCTCGTCTGTGYTGGGACATTCTTTTGWACAGTGGCTGCTTTGTTTCCCYGATGTATAAYTGGTCGCAGTCCTCCTGGCACTTAACAGCATATACAAYATTGCTCTGTTTGTGCCGGGGCACTGGATCTTTGGGGTGAACCAGCCTTTGCCGTAATGTGTTTTGGGGTTTGAAAGCCACTGGGACATCATGTTTAGAAAATAAATGTCTCAGTTTCTCCGAAACACCCGCAACATACGGAATAACCATACGGAGAAGAGACGAAACGTTTCATTAGAGAACCCGTCCAGAAGACCTACACAACTTTTTTTAATTTTCTTTAAAGTTTTTTCCTTAGCCTGCTCTTCATTTGCGTCGAGTTAGTCAGATTAAAGGTTCACTGTGTTGGGCGTAGTGACATCTAGTGGCTCAAATTGAAAATGGCAACACTTTCAGAGCCTWGAGTTTTTATATTCTCTGGTGTGCATCTTCATCTCCTTTTCTTATTTTGCTTTCGACATCAAAAGGGTATTTTGGATATGTTCTATGCTTGGATTTTGTAGAACGTTCATGCATAATTAATCTGTTGGTGATTTTTGATTTATCTCAATTTGGATAATCTTTTTGTAGTTTAATTATAGCCAGATAGTCTGAGTGGAGCCAAGACAAAAGAGTTGTTGTTTTAAAGCACATCCATTGTAAAAACAATTAACTCTCCATGCAAACTCCATTTTTTGACCCTTTACACCACAAAATGACCCTTTACACCACAGTCAGTTTTGTATTACTAAAAATAATGTTATATTTGAAAGTGCTCTAAATGGCACAGAAGTACTAAAGCTAGCTGCTGTTGCTTATGATTGCAAATAACCACATAATTTATGCAATGTCAAATTGACAGTGATGTAAAAGTTCATAAAATAGTATTTTTCATAAACAACTATGATGATTTTGAGATTGGAACTGTTTTAAGACGAAGGAATCCACTTACATGTTAGGCCTGTCAATCAAGTCAGAATTAAACTCTCTTCCTCCAAACTATTGTTGTGCAAAGTGCTATCTACAACAGGTAAGATATTAATAGCTCTTAACTTTTTCACATAACCTTACTTTAAAGATCTAAAATATTTATTAAAATCAGTCTCAACAAAATATATGCAACATATTTATTTCACATTGTAAAAGCTGTAATACTCATGCTCCATTAATAGTAAATAATGACTAAGCAGTTTAATGTCATTTACTCAAATAATTAGATCAGCTGACTCTGTGAATGTACATATACTGTATTCAGATAATTTTACATWATGTTTATTATGAGCATCACAAAGTTTTAACGTCGTTGATGTGACGGACACATTCTAATATGACAATGTCAGGAATCATCAGGCTCACGTTGAAAAAGAGTTGTTCAGGAAGCATGAGGAATGATTTTCACTCTTGACTTGGCGGCCAGACTCCAGCTCCATTGAGAGTTTTATTTATTTATTTTTTTAGGCGGTGCTGAAAAGGACTTTATCGATGTAAGATTTTGGAGGAAAGTTATTGCAGACCTGGATTAAAATTAAGGTTGCGAGTGAACATAAGCTTGTCAAAAAGATGTGGAGATGGCAAAAAGTCRTGCTTCAGTCTAAGCTAAAGGTAGTTTTATCTGATCCAGACATTCTCAGTTGTCTGTCGACACAGAAATAAATAACAGCTTCTGGAGTGGCAGCTGGAAATGGTGCACATAAATATACTGTTGAAGGGATTGTTTAGTTTGATGCACGTCAAGAATGGTGGATTAGGCTCGTCTGCTTGTCCATAAAAATGACTTTTTGTGTACACAGCAAGGATTTGGACATGTGTATGTGTAATTTCAGGAGAACAATGAAAGCAGCATAAAAAATCACTAGATGAGTCCTTGCTTTATAACTTCAAGTGTAATCTGACCTACAAGGTCATATTCTGAGGAGTTACTTTGCGAGTTCTCGAGTGAATATTGTAGCTTCTTTTTATTTTGCATTCCTACATTCCTCATAAAAGCTGGAATATTTCAAGACTACAAAACGTGTATAAATGMCTTCACTGTATCCTTTAGTTTAAGGATACAAAAAGCATACAGCGTCTTGGACAAACCTAGCAGGGTGTGGTGGTGTTTTTTTTCTGCAGCAACATCGGCTTATTATTTTTGTTATTCAGTTTATGCTGGCTGTTTTCAGTCCCCTCTGTTCAGCCATGAGAATGTAGACAACAGAAATCATAAGTTCTGAAAGTACACAGCTGTAAACCCTGGCTGTTTCAAACATGGCATGTCATGACTCTTTAACAACCCCGTGCAGTATAAAGTCAGGGACGATAAGAACCTCCTCAGCACAGCTYCTACGGCACACCGAAGAACTTTGACGTCTCCTGTAAATGTATAAACCTGACACCCCAGACAAGTGCCTGCTCACATTAGCTTTTTAAAATGCAACGCACAAAAGATGCTGGCACACAGGAGAGCAGCGGCGGCGACTCCCTCAGTAGGTGTTTCTTCATTTTACTGCACTTCCTGTCTCTGGAAAAACCAGGAGTGAACGGATGACAGCTCACATATTGCTCAGCTGCTTAAATAAAAGATTGCGTCACGTGTAAAATCACACCACATCGAATGATTGTCTACAAAGACAGCAGCAATATTATATTTTATTAAGCTTTTTGGTGTTGTGCAATTGTCAGTTCACATTTATGAGTACTGTTATTCAAACTAGAKAATTCGCGCTTCCTGCAAAACAGCAGCGTGAATGTTAAATGCTGAAAGATTGTTGCTGAAAGCTGCTGAAGAAGCAGCAAAATTTAGCTCAATATCTTGAAAAATGTTTCAGTTGAAGGTAAAAGATTTTAATTCAGTACAAAACAGGTGAAATTAGTGGAAAAATTACTAAAACGTACTAAACGAGGATAAAATTAGCTTAAAGAACTTAAATAGAAACAAGTTTAAAATTTTTACAGTCATTTCCCCGTCCATCTGCTATTTTCAAATTAGAAGAAAATAAAGTAAAAAAAAAGTTGCAATTTGTTGTTAAATGGCTTAACAGCCAATAAAGGACAAATAAGATAAAATGTTTGCTGAATAAAGCAGTAAGAAGCTGAAATTGTCTCAAAAAGATAAATTTAGCTAAAAACACAGAAAACAGCAGAAATGATCAGAAAGTAGCTGAAAGAAGCATAAAAATTCTTGAAATTATCAGAGTAGCAAAAAAGGTCAGAATGATGGCTAAAAAAATCTGAAAAAAGGATAAAATCAGCAAAATGGAAAATGAAGGAAGCTGAAACTGGCACAAAAATAAAAGGCAGAACCGGAACAAAAGATGCAGTATATATTTAAATATTTAACATTTTGAGAGATTTTAAAGGGGCAATATCATGTAAAATCAACTTTTTTGAGTTTTATATCATGTTMTAATGATATAAAATGATAACTCATAAAAAAACATGCCCAAAGCCTTGCTTTGACATTCATGCATGTTTGAGAAATCCTGCAGCGTTTTTAGGAAGCCATGCTGAGGAGCAAAACGACAGGTGGGGACCAGAAACGCCCCTGGGACGTGTCTTTAAGCCGAACTTCCTCATGGCGGAGCACACCTCCCCAACCCCACCCCACACACCCCGTCCATGACTCCTGCAGGCTCTCGGCAGTAACAGAGCAAAGTGAAAGTGAAACTTAAACTGTCTGCTGCTCTCAACACTACTGCTCACTCAGTGAAGCTCTTTTCAGATTCAAAATACCTTTGAGGAAATGTGTCTTCAGATGCCAAGTAAACTGCATCATAGCGCACGCGCGCGCGAACACCCCCGCACTGAACGTGACGGGACAGAAGCAGGAGGTTCTTAAAGAGACAGAGGCCAATTTCAAGGCGTTTAGAAGAGAAAGTGATGAGAAGAAAAGTTTATTTTCTATTTAGACATAAAAACAGCATTTTAATAACAACTAATGGTGACATAGATACTTTATTACGGTATAGTATTTAAATGTCTGCCTAAGAAACACATAATATTGCCCCTTTAATAATTTTGAAGACTGCATCACTCATTTTTAATGAGTGGTATACTTTAAAAAAAAACCTCAGAGTATCAGTTGCCAAAATTCAGAAAGTCATAGGAGCATCCTAATGGAGCTGAATGTATTTAAATAGAAATTGTTGAAATGGCACGAAAATTGTGTAACAAATGCGTGCCGAAAGACTATAGATATTAATAAGCTAAATATAAGACGAGTATTCACACAATGAATAACCTCCCTATATGTTGTGTATTAATTCAGCCTTTCTTTGGAAATCATTCAGCAGTTGTGTTGTGACAAATAGCCAAAACTAATTTTGGTCTCTTGTTAATGTTCAGTGTGTGATAGAGGCTGCAGAAATGTTTACTAGAACTAAAATGCGGGGTGAAATGTACTGTTAATGTTTGTGTAAAAATCCTCATTTTATATGCTGTGAAG